TTAATCCAAGAAGACAAAAGAGACAGAAGCTACCAAAATAAATCAGGAAGTAACAAAAAGAGAAACGGAAACAGAGAATTAACAACACAGAAGACAGCAGGACAGGAAGACTGAACCTCTGGGAATTAAAACAATTAGCAATAATTAGGAGACAGAATTAAAACCAAGCATAAAACTGTGAGGGGAAAAAGCTAAAATAAAACACTCAAAATGACCTGAAGAAAGAACTAATTAAGCAGAAACATACAATAATAAAACAGTAAAGGTTAAATGGTAGCAGAGGGTCAAGGACCCAGCACCATAACAAGTTTCTCACTGTTATTTGATTTTGGCGTCATTTTTGTTGATTAAATAATAACACAATATTTTACACACTATGCAGTTCTGAGGAAAATAATAATTTCATTTCAAAAACAGACACTTTGGATTACTGAGCAGCTACAGCTCAGCAATCCCAGCTGGAAACACTGCACCAACATACAGCTGCTGCACAACATCTCATGTTCAAACTCCATAATAACATAATAACATCTCTTCATCGCTGCAGCTGTTTTACTCATAAAGCTACTTTCAGTACGGTGCAGTTTAGCTGCACAATAAAGGAGTACTCACAGACGTGCAGTGACGGTCCTCTGCTGGCTCCACAGACGTGGACTTTGTGCTTTGACGACTAGTTAAACAGCAACACAGTTGTTTGTATTCAGAGTTGAAAGTCCTTAACTACAAGTGGAAACTCAGCAGGCAGCCAATCAAACATACAATAAAGTCACATCCTCAAATGAACAATGTTATTTATGTGGTGTAATGAGCAAAACTGTGGTTTTTCTGGACAGACTGGACAGTTACTCTTAAGTTTGGCATGTAGTGGGTCAACACTCACACTCCCTGGATATCATCTGTTTTTGCTGGACAGTACTGACACTCTGTAAGTTGGGGGAAATGCCTTTCTTCTTACAGTAAGAGCGCAGGGAAAACATACAATACAAATCAAAAAACACATCAACCCATTTGTCTGGAAGGTAAAGCATAAAAGGTGCTGCAAAGAAAAGCAGATGCACCATCAATGTCAAACACACACACAAAGGTGAAAATAAGGTTTTACAAAAGGAGCACATCATAAACAACACTCACCTTCTCCATAACGTAGGGTTAGAGGGCTGTCCTCATATTCATTTTGTTGTGATGCAGTCGCCCTTTTCTTCATTCTCATGTTTGCCCCATTTCCTCTCGTCACCTTGCACACATTAAATAA